ATGTTTTCCGTCCCGTTTTTGCTCATTTCTCGGAGGCAAAATGAGCAAGAACGCTCATTTGTACATCATTCTAGAGAGAAATAAATGGCCTTTTCAGAAAGTGAACCATGGATGGGGAATTGATGGCAGTTTTCTCAAAAAATGCTTGAATTCAAGAAGTTTTAGATTTGCGTGGTTTTTTTTGAGTTGCAAAACCCACTTGAACATGACGCTGCTTTTTTCGAAGTTTCTCAAGAACCATTCGAGCCACAGAATTCGTTTTGGCATCGTTGGATAGAGAATTAAATGGGGGCTCATGACCCCCATGACCCCCCCCCCTAGGGGCGCAATATCCGGAATCGAATAAACCTGGGGATGAATGGCAGTCCGTTTAATTGGCTGGTTGTTATTCGATTTAGGGCGGACGCCCCCGTATAATTTCTCGGTCTGTGGAGACGCGAAATCGGCAATTAAGCGAGTTCAACAGCCTGCTGGACTAAAAAAATCAGAATTCCGGGCGATTTTCTTCGGTTCAACAATCTTTAGCGTGTTGTGAACCTTTTAAGCTTCTACTCGGTCCAGATTGGCTCCTATGCATTTTGAAACTTAACACTTTTTAATGCGCTGTCAAACAAGTTTCTACTTGAAGAAACACTTGTGTTTAGCTCCGAATTTGAAATGCAGAAAAAATCAATGTGATGGACGGTTTTGTTGGAAATTGCAGACCTTCGAGGCTCCCAGCCGTAACCAATCAGGTTTTTGTGCAACTTCCCAGAAAATTGTAGAAGTTCTAGATCCAGGCGTCAGCTATCTGGGGAAACTTTCAGGTTTCTGCTGGCTCAAAGGCAGGTGCACCCATGCTTATCAGAATCTGCATATTCAGTTTCCTTTGCATGGACGGGGCCTCCCGCAAAGACCCTTTAAGGAGGTGGACTATCAGCGGTCTCATAAACACGTCAGACTCCACACGCCCACACGCCCATCCATTTTCCAGTTTCGCCGGCAGAAATATAAAAGGGAAAATTGGATGCAGACCCATAAAGGCGGAAATATGTCATCGTTTGCACTTGATGGAAAAGGCAGCCAAATTGCCCTAATTTGCCGCTGGATAAATTACGCGAAAAATATTTTTGTCTGTTACCCCGTAGCGCACCCTCCGGGTTCGGGCGCAGCCCGCCCCGTGAGCACGAGCGAGAGCCACATACAAAACTAGCCTGCTCTTTGTCGCGCTTCGCCCATATACCAGGGCCAGTCGCTCAATACTGCAGCCTTGCTGTGCGAAAAACCCCTTTAAAGGCCAATAAGGGTGGACCCGTGGATGTTTACGCTGGAACTAATGCCAGTGCAGATGCACATTTGCAGCTTGTTAACGGGGTTTTATCTACAAAATGCCCTATTAAGCCTCTGCCTCTGCTAACTAGCTCAGTTTAAATGCAGTTGTAGTTTTGTAACTAAGTTCGGCTCTCATCCAGGCTTAATTTACTGAACACATAATTTCGTGTTTACCGTGCTCTACACCGGGGCTCAAATTTCGAGGAACACTTCACAACTTAGGAATCTTCTAGATTGCTGTTTTGCAGTCGCAACAATTCTGGCGTTTAAAAACTGCAGTCGAGTTTCACTCTAATCTTCCTCTTGTCTGGTGCAGAGTCCAAGACATCGATGGCTCCTACTTTGAGAGCTTCACAGCGCTGGCTTGGAAGCAGGAGAATCAGCGCCAGAGCGTGCTGCGCAATGCTGAAGCGGTGGCCTCAGAAGCGCCTCCTCCTGAGCAGGACTTGGGCATCAATCCCCTGGACTACTCAGTGTCTCAGAACGAAAAGGATAAGCTCTACGTGGAGATGCTCTATACTATCGCCAATACCGTAAGCAAGCCAGATAGATTTAGGAGAATGTTTGGGTGGGACATCGACTTGACTTGACATGACTAGTCTTCAACCGAGAAACATGCTCTAATCTTGAAAAAAACAGCTTTAAACTGCCATTATCAGTGCGAATAACACTGAAGCTGAGTTTCCAGTCGCTGTAACAACAACATGCCGACACCGGCCCGCATGGGGCAACTTTCCGGCAAGTTTAAATGGAAAAACTTCGGGAAAAGTCCCGAAGCGAAAAGATTCTTATGATTATAAATGGGAAGGAAATGATGCTGAACCGTGTGTTTCCAGGTGGGGGCGCCGGCCCCTGGGGGCCAGTATGCGCACTACAAGGAGGACTTGTATCTCTATGGACAAAGGGCTTTTGGGGTGCCGGCCGATCGCCATTATCGAATGCTGCATGTGGCCGGCGAAGAACAGCCGCCCATTGTCGTTCTGAGCGTCATTGTGGTGGAGGCCGAGGGCCTGGAGGCCAAGGATGCAAATGGTAAGTTACCCTAGGAAACCCTACAGCCCCTGACAGCACGGTTAATCTACATTAGTTACAGCAAACCAGTTAGCATCTGAAGCTGATGATCGTGTATTTACATGTGAGTTTCTGATGATTGCAGGATTTAGTGACCCCTACTGTATGTTGGGGATCCAGCCGATGGCCGCCCCCAGCTCCCCACAGCCGCTTACCCCCAATCGCACCCTATCGGACGCCTGCTCCCCATGTGGCATTGGGGGCAGCATTGGCGACCTCAACCACAGTGGCGGCGGCGAAAAATTGAGGAAACATCACAGGTACATGAAGAACACGCAACTTTTTATTCATTGTTCGAACTGGGGAGCGTGCGCCAGAGTATTTCGCTTTTTTCACTTTTGATGACGACAAAAATAGTGTACGCCAATGGTTGTTCTTCATACCGAAATTATTGTTCCATTCCTTAAACGCACAGGTTTCGATGGGTTTGAAAAAATGAAAACCGTTGTAATGCCCGGAAAAGTTTTCGCAACTATTACATTCCCTTTTTACAAACTTCTTTTTGGGTATTTCGCCTCAAAAATTTTTGTCTTTAAAAAAGACGGAATTTCCTCACGTCTTTTATTACAGATTGATAAAT